TGTTGTAAGGGGGGTGGCGACCTAATAAATGCGAACGCGGGACCTTCGGTCATTGAGTTGATCACTCTACCATTGTACCGCGGGCTATATATGTGGTGGAGGATCGCTCACCGATCGCTTTACGAGGCCCACTCGTGGCTCATGATTAATCATGAATTAAATCAATTAAAATTAAAAATAATGAATTCATTATTTTTAACTTTTATTTATTTTGAACTATCACACAGTGTGTTGTTGCTATATATTAGCTTTCTATAATAATTTTTTTTCTATAATTTTCCGTTTTCCGGGATATTTCTTTCATTCTCTTTCCTATACCCACTCATATAACCTCTATTACTATCGGTCCCATATTACAGAATTCTCGAGGTTGGTTTCCCCTATGAGTCCTATAATAGACTGTTACCAATATGCTATTTCATTAAATGTGAAACAAAATTCCAAAATGCGTGCAGCATAGTCCCAAGATGTTCCCGTCACGCAGGAATGCCGAGTTTTGAAGGAGCATCTTTTCAACCACCTGAAAGAACAACATTGTAAAAAGGGCTATTTAAGTAGTGTGAATTTTCAAATTTATTGTCGATGCCCATATATTCCAGTGTATTTGACAGAAAAAGTGACGAAATTTTTATACTCATTTGGTGGCTACCTATGCCTTCTTAAACTCGAAGAAAGTTTTTAGGGTCTTACAAAGTTTCGGATTATGAGAATTTTAGGACTGAAATTTCCGTTCATGAAGCGTCGTATCTGTTCATTTATTCATTTTGCTTATACACTATACAACACGGTCCACATCCGTTGCGAACTTTTATGAGCACTATATGACAGCTTCCGCATATCTCAGAGAAATATGTGAGTTCCCTTAGACTGGATGTTGGGAGCATGTAATCTGAATTCAAGTGTAACGCAGATCGGGTTAAAAATTATTCGGTATTTGAAAAAAAGTAAAATCCGGATGATACTCTTTCTCAGAAGACGCAATTTTCTACCAAACGAATGCAAAAAAGAATACTTTCGTACATCCTTCTTCTGTAAAACATATTTGAATTCATAAGGACAGCAATAATTAATAATACAAATTCATTCTACTTAGGCTGGCATTTTACAGTATCATTTTCCAGATTGTCGAAAAGAAGCTCGTTAAAAAGCCCGCATCCCGACATGACTGAAATACCTTGGAATTATGCTGCTCGATCATTAATATTCCAACCCTACTCAAGTAATCTTTTCGAAATGACAACATCGTTCATTAACACTGCAGTAGCTAGCACATCCACTTTATCTTCCTCTTCCTTTTTAACCCACAAGGCGAGCCTATTCCCCAGTTTGAGCGATTTCTCTATCGTGAAAAAAAGGCTGCCATCTCATGGACACTCCAGCAAGTATAGCCAATTCTCTTTTGGACGCATGACACACCGTAGTCGTACACAGTTTCACCGACGTACCAGAAGTGATTAATTGCCAGATAACGCTGAGATCGCGACTGGAGGTTTGTGTTCCTCAAACCGGCCGCATCAAGCCCAAAAGGAAATTTAAGACATCCGTCGCAGGTGGCGGTCAAGAACTTCATGCGGACTCAATCCCTGTTCCAGATCTCACCTATATTCCGCTCAATGCGGTTCTGCCACTAGTACATGACGAGAGAATATAACGAGTAAAGCCAGTTCTATTCAACCCTCTTTCAAAGTAAATCTGACAGAAGTTGGCGTTGTGACGGTCCCTTGGGAGTTGTAGTCTGATAGATTATCAACTGAGGAGTGGGGGAATGACTAGACCGTAGTCATTCCTTAATCAGGCCTTTCAATTACAACAACAGCTACGATGCCCGAGAGGTCTAAGTCCGATTCATTCCAGTTGGAGGACCGAAAGCGAGAGGGTGTTCAGTGGCTAGACAGCCACGGAATCCACGCCCATCCCGTTACAGACTTCGGTGTTCCTCACTAACATGCGACAAGTGTGGCTAAAGAGTGGAGAGCATCGATAATGAGTAATTCATCATCCTCCAAATTTCGCCACTGCGTCGTTCAGAACAACGCGTCAACTATTAATAGGGAATTTGAGACGGGTCGTATACTAGGCCGTGGGATGCACGAAATTACTCAGGACTCGTCTACTGCTGTCTCAACGATTGGCTCGGCAAAAAATAACGGTTAGCTCCCTAGCTAGTTCGATTTAGTTCCAGCAGTGACGGTTCTCTCTGACAATCCCGCGCAGAACAGCAAATGCGGCTGGAGGCCGCGGAGTTAACCCAGTCAAAGAAACAAACTCACTGAGCTGACGGCACATCCCTGTGCTGAGGATTCACTCGTAGTGAAACCTAGCAAACCCCACAGTGAGCACTCGAACGCGGACTACCCTTGCGCGTTTACTGGTGAAACAGCACTGAGCGATGATCAACCACAGGCAAACATCGGCCGAACGGGCGATTGCGAAGCACGCGGTGGATCAACGAACACTACTCAACTGTGGCCCTACCGAGTTAAATGGTTTAGAATTCGTAGGGTTTCTAAAGCGAAATCGACTGTCCTACTCCCGCTCCGGAAACACTCGTCAATATGAACGTTCACATAATAACAAACCCCCAGCTCAGGTTATGCTTAACAGACCAACAATAAATAAGGGATTACCGGGGAAATAAACAGGTCTTGGTACATTCTAATGGGTATTAGTATTTATTCGCGAAACTATCCCTAGAGGAACGATGAGACAGAACCATCGAGACAGGTCGCCAAGACAGAAAGACGAAAGTTCCCTGGCAGCGTTGAGCAGCCAATGAAGCTGCTTCGGAGATTGCATTGCTAATGAGTTTAGATAGCTGGACCCCACAACCGACGCAAAACAATCGGGAACTCTATTATGCAAACTCATCTAAAAGCCGAATGAAGAACAGTTGAATTGGCGCATCGAAGATGCTTCCATTTACGGTTCACATAATGACAAAAGATGTCAGAACCACTCGGAACCTAGGACCAGGATCGACGGCTGTCACACTCACAGGCGACATATAGAGAGCTTACGTCCACACAACGAGCAGCGGCTGAAAATAAGATTGGATGCTACTTTTGTAGGATAAGTCATGACGCCGGAGGGCGATGTGGGACCAAAAACAGGTAGCACGGTGACGTCGAGTACGAGAGTGAACCAGGGACGAAAGGTCCCTTTAAAACAAGTCTTGCCAATCCTCGCCCCTCTGATTGTTTAAAAGAACAAAATAAATTGCAACCACCTTTAATGTAAATGTACAATGAATAGATTTGTGGTGGTCGGATACATTTTGTTGGAATGAGTGATAAAAATGCTTAAGTTTTACAGAACTCTAAGAAGACGCAGTTTGCGTGCACATTTGTGGCAAAAAAGTCCGCGTCAGGACATATCCATGGGAAGTGCAAATGGAGGAAATCTATGTAATACGCAGTAAAAAGATACATCAAAACCCTTAAATGCGACTCATAGAGGATGAATAAAAAATGACTCTGCGGCAAAATTTGAAGTTCTGATCGGGGAATTGTAAGATAAGTTTAAGCTTTGGTGGCGTCACCGGTGGGCTGCGTAGAGTTCTGGGCATCTGGGGTATGCCAAGTAAGGCGCTCTTCGTAGAAGCGGATCACGACTTGCGGACACTTGACGTTTGCCTCTCTAGCGGGTACAAGATCTGCAATGTCACTGTCACGCCTAAAATGAAAACCAGCAAGAGCAAATAAGTATGACCCCTTTGGGGAGTTACATCAAAGAGAAGAGATGCGCTGACTGTACAAGTTAGACCTAGGACAAAATTAAGTCGGCAGTCTAATAAAATGAACTAGTGAATAATATTAGTTAAATTTAATTTACAATGACTCGGAAATAAAAAAACAGACCTACCATTTTATTAAAAACATGAGTTCACCGCTTGATTCAGTCGCTCCGATTATGCGTTCTGCTTTGAGCCCCCGATCAAAGCCTCTTACTTTAGATGCTGCTGCGGGCGTTTCCGTGGTCTTCTGAGGAGGCTGCAGAAGGAAATGCAGCCATTTTAGCAACATGGAACAGTAGTAATTACATTTTATTGGATCTTGGAGACGTACTACATGCATAAAGATGTATAAATCAAAAACCTAACACCACCGCAAACAGCGATTATAATTTTTCAAGTAAGCCAACCTTTTCAGGTGTAGAAGTCTTTTCAATCTTCTTCTCTGGTGAGACATGAGCACTGGGTTGCTTATCTTCCTTTTCTTCTGAATCACTCGAAATTGTTCGCCTCCTCTTTGTGGCTTTTGGTGCCTCGTTCACAGGAGCTTTTTGTGTGCTAGAACTCGGATCCTCAGACATAGATGTCCTAGACGAAGAGGCACGCGAACGGCTCTTGCGAGTCTCAGTCTCTTTTGGAGCATCACCAGAAGAGTCGGTTTTTGGTGTTACTGTTGATCTCTTACTACTTGACGGAAGAGGACTCTTTAATTTTGAGTTCCGTTCAGCAGCCCTTCGGTCCTCGAATTCCTACAAAGTATAAATGGACTGGATCGATCGACAACCTTAATCAAATCCGGGCAATCAAGGTTTTCCTCGGGTTCCCATGTATTTTCTTCGTCGGGATAGCCCTTCCACTTCAAGAAATATTCTTTTTTCCCGTTTCGAATGCGAACACGTAAAATCTTCTCCACACTAAATTCGTCTTCTTGTAAGTCTTCGTCAGACATGGCTGTATCTACGAGGAAGGAAAAAACAGCAAAGGACCTAGTTAGGAAAACTAACAAATAATCTGAAGTCAAATGGAAAACAACCATCTAGAAATGTTGAAAAACTTCTTTGATAGGCATCGTACAGATGACCTACTAGCCACACAAAAAATTAAAAAAAACGAAATAGCAGGATTAGGTGGAGCGCGAGGAACCCAGCCCGCGACTACTACGAGGCACCTAATTCTCTTGAGCAAATCACATTCACCTAGGACCGGCGAATGCAGAAAGTCGCCCACCAGGTTCCTAATTGATCGACCCTTTTTTGTAGGCACCGCAGGTAAAGTCCGCCCAGTATTCCCTTGATGTTATTAATACATGGTTCAACCCAGT